GTCTTCACTGCAAGCTGAGTTACAGCCAGTCACTTCCAACACAATAACTCCTGACTTTGCAGTTGGAATGTTCTTAAATTGGAATAGCTGAGATATCAGAAGGCCTGCACAGTTGTTGAGAACTATAAACCAGGAAGACAATAACATGAGATGCTCTTACACTGCTCTGCTACTGCGTCGTTACAATTCATCATGGAACGTACCCGGGAGTAGGACCATAAGCACTGACACATCTTAGCCTATGACTCTGAACAGTGCCCCTGAGAAGAATACAGGAGTCCAGAAATGTAGCAAATTAGGCATTATTTGCCCCATTCATTCCAGTCCCATGACTTGAGCTGTGTGTGCCTTCCTTGGCATATAGGGTCCGTATATGTTTTTTTCAAGGAAAAGAGGCTCCATGCACACACTGGAATTCTCCAGACTCATGAATGATTCCTGGGAAAGTATTTCAAACTTGAAATACTTAGTGTATTGATGAAGAGTTTCTGACTTTTAAATAAAATTAACCTGTTGCTTGGCATAGCAACTAGAGAGTAGGTCCATTGAATCAATGGGGATTTGGTGAGTCAGCTCCTCCATAGGTTCCATTGATTCAATGAACCTACTCTAGTTGTGACTTACTATGCTAAGCAACAGGATTTCAGTCACTGTATGCTTGTCTGTATTGTTTATGAAACCCAAATGAAAGCTAGTTTATATAATTTTGTCTGTTATGCCTCTCGGTCTTTCCCAGCCCTCCTCCCCCCAATAATATTTGGCTTGGAAGTGGAAGAGAAGGCTAATATTTCCTTAACAATACAGATTTTAAACATCCAGTTAACAAGAAAACTCTTGTTTAAATTTCAGATTCCACAATGTATGCACATTTTCTGTTCCATGCATTTGACACGGATCACAATGGATGTGTGAGTTTTGAGGTAAGGCTGTTCAATTCTGTCTGTTTTAACTGTGTTGTGTAACTTCCTACACTATGGTGCTACATGTTCATGATAGGCTGTACAGAGATTTATGGCCTGGTATCCAACTGCCCAAATGCAGAATGGAAGGGCACCTGTGTAAGTGTTTCCCCCCACTGCATGGTTCCACAACCAGTGGAAGAATGGGCATGTGACTGTGGTGAGCCTGCTAGAGTTGGAGAGAGAAGATTATGTGATTGCCCTTCTGCTGTGTGTTGAAGCAACAAGGCACTGGCCATGGTAGCTCAGTAGTGTTTAAGTACCAGAGGCTGGGAGTTTGATTCCCCACTATGCCTCCTTGAAAGGACTTCATGATCCATAGGATCCCTTATATATCTACAGTCATAAGATAAGATGGTGATTGTTGTTATTGTTGTTGTTGTTGTTATAATAATTCTAATCATAATAGTTAAGGCTAGATCCAGTCAAATTTTAGCCATAGCTTTCAGTGAAAGTGTTAAGCATGTGTTCAGATCTGCTCTAATGAAATAAATAAAACTTTTAAAAGTGTGTGTCTGTCACTAGATAAAGCTCTGCTTTAATTTTCCTAACTGTCTTGTCAATATATTATTAAGTAAAATAGAATAATAGAGTAATGGATTTGGAAGGGGCCTATACGGCCATCGATTTGCCGGAATCCAAATCAAAGTATATCTGATAGATGGATGTTAGATTTTCTCTTGAATGCCTCCAGTGTTAGAACATTGGTTCCATTGTTGTAATGCTCTAACAGGAAGTTCATATATTCAACCAAAATCCTGTTAATTTGAGGCTATTATTAAGTGTCCCACAGTCTGGGATGATCAGGAACAGATCCTGCTCTTCCTCTGCATGACAATCTTCCAGATATTTGAAAAGTGTTATTGTATCTCCCGTCAGTCTTTTTTTTTCTTCAGTGCTAAACATGCCCAGTTCATTGTAATGTTCTAACAGGAGGTTCATATATTCAACCAAAATCCTGTTAATTTGAGGCTATTATTAAGTGTCCCACAGTCTGGGATGATCAGGAACAGATCCTGCTCTTCCTCTGCATGACAATCTTCCAGATATTTGAAAAGTGTTATTGTATCTCCCGTCAGTCTTTTTTTTTCTTCAGTGCTAAACATGCCCAGTTCTTTCCTCATAGGGCTTGGTTTCCACCCTTTAATCATTCTCGTTGACCTGCTCTTAGCTTGTTCCAATTTGTCAACATCATAACCAGTGCCAAATAGTGGGGAACTAGTATCTTGTGGGATTTGGAGACTATACTTCTGTTAATGCAGCCAAAAATACAATTTGCCTTTTTTGTAGCCACATCACACTGTTGGCTCATATCCAGCTTGTGATCTATAATAATTCCAAGATCCTTCTCACTTGTAGTATTGCTGTGTCAGGTATTCCCCATCTTGCAACTGTGTGTTTGGTTTCTTTTTCCTAGATGCAGAACTTTGCAGTTATCCCTTATAAATTCCATTCTGTTGTTTTCAGCCCAGTGGTCAGGCCTATCAAGATCATTTTGAATTTTATTTCTGTCTTCCAGGGTATTAGCTATTCCACCAAATATTGTATTATCCACACATCTGATAAGCACTCCATACACGTGCTCATCCAAATCATTAATAAAAACATTGAAAAGCACCAGGCCTAGGACAGAGCTTTGTGGTAGCCCACTTCCTACCTCCTCCTAGTTAGAGAAGGAACCGTTGATAACTGTGGCGTTTACCACAAGGCCCCTGCTTGTTTCCCCAAACAAAGGGCTCACGCTATGTCATCCCACCAGCAGATACCAATTGGGACGTTCCCTCTGTTCCTCACTGCCACCAGTGGATTTTCTTTGTCCACAATATATAAAGAACTTTAGTCAGACACTTGTCTGGTTACTCCCAAAAGAACTTATTTATTGAAATGTATTAAATTTAATCAGAATCACAGATGTTTTTTATTCAGTGTATACAATCAAATCATTAAAATGCCATATATCTTGCCACATAACCAATCTCCACCTGCTCTATCTATTTATCTTGACTAGCTTATCTTTATTAGTGTCTGTTCTCACTATCACCCTATCTCTCTCTCTCTGCAAATTCTATATCTCTCTTCTGCCAAATCTTCTTATATCCACTGACTCTGCCCCTCCACTCCTCCCATAGGCTCATGCAAATGAGATCCTGAATATGAGTGATAGGAGTGATGTGGGGCAATCGTCACATACCTCCCCCCAAGAAAAGTTTGTTTCATGGAGGAAACCTTATAGTTTACCCTTATGAACAATGAAATATGCAGGGAACATTTCATCCAAAACATCATCACAATAATGTGCTAAATATTAAACCATGTACTATATGTTACCATTTAACACAATATATTTATCATATACAGTCCCTACACATATCTTATATTAGATTTCTCTCAATTACTATGTTTAGCAGATCAAACATTACTTTAGACATTTAAAGCAATCAATACAATTATAACCATTTGCATTAATTACATTAATATAAATCAAATTACCACTACTTACCATTATTTCAACAAGACATTCCAGTTTAATTACATCTCAAAACTAGTACACAAACAGAACATTTCTTACAGCATTACATTTTTTTCCCATCCATCCGTTAGTCCTCTGGTGCAAGAAAGTTGGTCCTTTCCATCAGGCAGCCCCTGGTTCTCGGCGGGAAATAAGCCAGACTGAGTTTGCATAGCGTTAACATTGGAACTTTTATTCAACTCCTCTCCCACCTGCACATCTTTAAACGGGTTTAATGGTTTCAAACTTGGCAACAAGCCACTTTCACTAACATTTAAACTTTGATCAAACTCCCAAGGAGTTACAGGCGGCGGATCCCACCAGACCCCTGTGGCTCCTTCTGAGGAGGTGGGAGACTCCTCATGGCGCAAATGGTCCCACAGCACTTGTGTCGGTACCATCCTCTTTCGTCGGGACCTTCGTGTTCCTCAGCTGTCAGCCATGCAGTTCACGTTGAAGCTCTAGTTCTCTGGGCGCCACAATCACATTCCACTCTTTTACCAATTTGCGCATAAAAGTCTCGGTTACAGTAGGTGGATCGGGCAGCAGGCCACCTTCTTTCAAATGGGGAAAATCTCTTAACAACCCCTGGGTGCGGACCCTTTCAAAAGCCCTTCGTCTCTCCTCTCTCTTCTTCCTCTCATAACTCTCCACAACTGAAGTGTTCAATTTGTTAAAGGCTTCCTCACAGTCAGCCATCCAGTAGATTTTCTCAGCTTGTCTTTTATGGGTTAGATTAGACAGAGGGGCGGCTATCTCACTGAAGTTAGGAACAAAGTGACAATAGTAGCCGGCTAACCCTAGAAAAGCTCTTATTTTTTTCTTGGATGTTGGCTTGGGCCAATTGTTAATAGCCTCTATTTTTGATTCAAGGGGTTTGATTACGCCTCCACCTACTATATGACCTAAATATAATTCTGAACTCCCTAGTTGGCATTTACTTGTTTTAACTGTTCAGCCAGCCTCTTGTAATATCTGTAGTACTGTTTTAAGGTGGATTTTGTGCTTTTCCCAGGTCTCTATAAGGTCATCTAAATGAGGTGTCGGGTAAGCATCTGTTTTAGTGATGTGATTTAATTTTCAGTAGTCTATGCAGAAGTGGATGCTTCCATCTGGCTTATCTACCAACACTATTGGGGCTGCCCAAGGGCTAGAAGAAGGAATGATAATTTTTGCCTTTAGCATCTCATCTAGCTCCCCACGAACCTTGGCAACATATGGCCCTGTTACACAATACGGAGTGACAGCTGTGGGGTGTGCATTCCCAGTATCTATTTTATGCACTACTCCCTTGGCTACACCAGGCTTATTAGAAAAGACTTGCTTGTATTTTAGCAGCAAGGCTCTTGCTTCTTCTTGTTGTTCTTGTGATAGAGTAAGGCTAATTCTGACTTCCTCAGGGTTATACTGGGATTCACCCAGTAACATTCTTCCCAATACTGTAATTCAGGCTTTTCATTGGGCATTTCCTTGATGACACACAAAACAAAATTTTCCTTCCTATAATATGGCTTAATCATATTTATGTGCACAGCTGTTCTGCCTTCTTCTCCATCCTCCTGAAGTACATAATTCACATAACTCATTTTAAGAGATCACTCTAAATCAGGGGTCTCAAACTTGTAGCCCGCAGGCCAATTGTGGCCTGTGTGATGATACTTTGTGGACCCCGCCTTAATATGAAAGTTTAATGTTAGTGTGGATTGCGAGTTTGATATGTATGGCACTTTACACTGTTGTGAGTGGAGCTGAACAAACCTACCAATCACGGTGGGGCACATGGCTCTCGGGGGCGAGTGAAAGTTTCAGCAGCATTGTCATAGAGCGTTTTCTTCCGTGCCTGGCTGGCACTTCATCCATTGTCCATGGTTTTTTTTTTTTAAAAAAAATAGACAGTGGTTCTCAGAATTCTTCAGGCAGTTCTTTCAGTACACTTTGATGCAGTTCATCAGGTCTTGTAGATATGAACTCAAGAAATGAAGAACTCAAGTAGAACATGGTCACTTTCCTCCAGAGTTCCTCTTGCAGCCACTTATTTCACCAAGTCATTTCTATAGATTAGAAACATGTGAAGTACAGCTACACCTCTAGTTTCTTCCTCCACATTTTGTAGGAGAAAATTATCAGGAATTTCTTGGAAGGTCCATATTTGGCAGAATTTGTCTCCCAACAGATATCAGGCTATTTGAAATCTTCTATTGCTGGTACATCATGTTTTGAAATTCTTGCAATTTGTTTTTTAAAGGTTTACTCCATATCTTCTCCTTGATTGGGTGGTCAGTAGTAAATTCCAGTTACTGCATTCTTTTTGGCTTTTGCCCCAATGATATTAATTCAGATGCTCTTGAGGGGACAAAAAAGCTCACCATACTGTATTTTAGAGATGGGGTATTTGTACTTGTCTCCCAGGAGAGATGAATATGACTATGACTATCACCGGTGGCTGGACCCT